TTTCCTCTCTTGTTCTCAGATCCTGCCACTCTAGGCAAATCCTGCTTCTCCTAGTGCACTAACACCTACACCCCCCTATCTTCACAGGAGACAACCCATCCTTCTTCTGACCCTGTGGCACCGCCTCACACCATCTGATTATCACCCCAGTTCCTGCACTGGGTAGACTTTCTCTCCTCTGCAGCCTGGCTTCCAGCTCCTGCCACATGTACCACTGACATTCTCTCCAGTATTCCCACTAACGGCCTTTGGCCGTTTCCCAGCCCCTCCCCACTCTGGATCACTCCCTTTCCTTTAGAAGTGTCCCCTCCCTGGTCTCTTTGGATACAGCCCTCCCCACCTCCCTCTTGGTCCTGCCTCCTCCCTCACTGAGGGTGTTTCCTGTCTCCTGCCTCTGAGCCCGGCCTATGGGGACTTCATTTACTTGGTGGCTCACCCTGCAACCTGGAGGACGCCTGTATTTGATGCCTTACTGTCCACCTGTCCAAAACCTGAGCCTATTATCTTCCTCAATATAAGAGAAAAGACTCCTCCACTGCTGCTTCTCCGTTCTTCCTTCTTTGGCTGTCGTTCCAGCCTCCCAGCCCAGAATTCTGGGAGTCACTTTAGGCTTTTTTTCTCTTTCTTCCTCACTTACCTATGAATAGTCATTGGGTTTTGTTGTTTTTCCCTCTGAGGCTTTTGCATTGATCCATGTCTCTCCACTCTGTCAGCCACCCAGCAGGGCCCTCCACCTCTGGCCTCCCTGGCTGCTGCCCAGTGCAAAGTCACAGCCAGATGAGTCTCAACAATACCATGTTCATCCTTTCACTCCCCGCTAACTGGGCAGTGATGCTTCCCACTTTCTTCTTGCACCAGGCCAGGCCCTTGGGCAGGCTTTTAAGAGCCCAGCCTGCCCCTCTGCCTTCTGCCATGCTCCAGCCCAGACCGCACCCCCGCAAGCTGTGGTCTGTCTGGTTTCCCTCATCCCTTCTGGGCCTCCCAAGGGCTGCTGGGGACTCACCCATCACATGCTGATAGTGGGTGACCTCTGCTAAGGTCAGAAATGTGGTAACAAGTGTAATTTGTCATGTTTATAATACTGGGCAAACATTTCCTGAGGGCTTTTCAATGGGCCAGGTCCTGTGTGGGATCCCTGCCTCCTCCAGAGTTCTTAATCTTGGGGATGGGGGTGAGGGTAGGGAGGAGATGGACCCTTCATAAGGCTTCAGAACTGGCTTGGCTGTAGGTGATGCCCAGTGTGAGCCCCAGAATCATGCCCAGTGATGGTTTTCAAGCAATGTAAATTTGCTCAGCCCGTTTCTGGTTGGGCTTAACTTCTCTACTGCATGATGCCAAACGCTGGGTGCGGGCCTTGGCTGGCTGGCTGGAAAGTGGTTTGTTTAATCTCAGTGGCCCTTGGTTAGATAACCTGAGGGATGGACTGGGTTTTATGGGAAGGAAGCTGAGGGTGTGCTGTGAGCCCCAGGCTCTCGTGGTTTCTCTTATAGACACTTTGCTGTCGCTGCGGCTCAGCTGCGTGTAAATTGCCTGGGCAGATGAGCACTGGGCTCACCCTCCCTCCTCCCTTCCCTTTTCCTTCTCCCCAGTTCCAGAAGTGTGGGTGGCTACCAGCCCCAGGAGGTGCTGGGCTATAGGTCAAAGTCCTGAGGTAGTTGTTGCTCTCCACTGGTCGGATTATCTGAGGATTAAAAACAGAGCAGTGAGGCAATGTGTTTTTCCAACGATTATTTTTTTCCCCCTTTAATCATGTGCATTGAGCTGTGGAGTTTTCAGTCTGAAGTCCATTAGCTCCCTGGGAGCAGTAGGATAACATGTAATAATAATAAAATTTAGCAGACTTTTTTGGGGAGCTTTTAAGGTGGTCTGCATAAGGGCAGTATGTCCTCAGGCATTTTGCCCTACTCTGCAGGATGTAGTGAGGGAGAAATCATTCCTTAACTTCCTCCTGGTTCATTTTACTCTGGGGAGAGAGAACCTTTGAATTCCAATGGCAGATTATATTTAGAAACACTAGAATATGGTCATCTTTCAGTTTTCTTCTCTGCTGAGATGGAAGTTTATGTTACATATTATGGTAACTGATACTCTCAAAGTGCTTTCTGATTTATAAAACACGTTCAATAAATTACCCCATTTCATCCTCACAGCAATCCCACGAGGGAAGTATCATTATCTCTATGTCAGACAGGAGTCACTAAGCCTCTAAAAGGTTGAGTGACATTGGCTAGGCATCTTAGCTATTGAGTGGTGTAGCTTAGACTCAATTCAAGACTTCTGGCTGCAAAGAGGCAGGGGGTGCTGAGAAGGCATGAGCATGTTAGAAAGACTGGGATTCAGATCCTGGCTCTACTTATTAGCTATGGAATTTTGGTCAGATTATTTTTTTGAAGTTTTTTTCTGACAAATTAAAACTCGTCTCAGGTTGATCAAGCATATCAAATAAGCTATGATTGCCTCTTTTTATTGACCACATTCCTCCATGAGCTCTGTCTTCTCTCAGTTCTGGTCTGGTTGCTCTGCAGGCTGTTGAACACTTGTCATCCTGGGATTTCTCATTACTGTCAACGTGGTAATCCTCTTGCTTTCTCTTTCCTTGAATTCTTTGTTTCCTAGTTTCTGTGTCTCTTATTATTTATTTATTTTTTGTTTCAGTGGAAAATGAGTCCCAGTGTCTTTCTGAGAAAGGGTACACTGGTGGCAAATTTTATACATCTTATATCGTTCGTCTGTTCAAGTAAGTCTATTTTCATGATTGATGGATAGTTTGGCTGGTTGTAGAATTCCAGTTAGAAATCATTTTCCTTGAGAACTGTGAAGCCAGCACTTCATTGTCTTTTGTGTGCTGATGAACAATCTTATGCTGATTCTGATTCCTGATCTTTTGTATGTTGTATTTTTTTTTTCTTTAAAATGGTTAGGATCTCCCCTTTGTCAATAGTATTTTGAAAATTTTCAGTGATGTATTTTGGTAAGAGTATTTTTATTCATCATGCTGGGCCCTGACAACTGAAGACTCATATCCTTCAGTTTTGGGACATTTTCTTGAATTATTATTTTAAATTTATTTGCTTTTTTTAGAGATTGGGTCTCACTGTTGCCCAGGCTGGCCATGAACTCCTGGGCTCAAGTGATTCTGCTGCTTCAGCCTTCTGAATAGTTGGAACTTCAGGCATGAGACACTGTGGCAGGCTTTGAATTAATTTTTGGATAATTTCTTTTCCTTTTTGTTTTCCTCGAGTTCCTTTAATTTGGCTCTTGTGCTTAATGGGTCCATTCTATTATTTTTCTTAAGTCCTTTTTAATTTATTGATCTTTTCGTTGTATTTTGTAGATTTTTTTTCAATGCTACTTCCAACCTAATTATTTCTGTGACAGTTTTTCATGATTCTCTTTGAGTATTTCTTTTTCTTTGTAACATTCTATTCTTATTTTATGGATGTACCATTTTATTTCTCTGATAATAATAATTTTCTTGTTTTCTTCTATTCTTTTAATTTTCTTTTTCTTCTACATTTTATCTTTCTACTGGTTTGTTCTGGTCTCTGTCTTTTGTAACTGGTGAACCTTGATTATCTATTTTGAAGAGCAAGGCACTAGTACATGGGTTGGCAGCTCTGTGAGTGTACGGAGGGAGTGGAGAAGGCTTGTTTACTGTGAGAGCCTCACAGTGGAGATTTGAGCAGGAATTTAGCGGTTTCCATTGAGGATCTTCAAATCATTGCCTTTAGCTTGTTTTTCTTATGCTCCTCAGTTTCCCCAGAGGAAAATTCTCTAATCTCTTGCATGGGGAATAAAACTGGCAGGTGCATTCCGGAGAAGGGAAGGGAAGGGAGATGCTGGGGGCTGGGAGCTTGGTAGAATGAGTGATCTCAAGGTTCAGTTTGTAGACTTTCTCTGAATCTCCTTGTCTTTTTTGAGGGCCATCCTCCCACCCTCTCCTGGGTTATCTCCCAGTAGAATCTTTCTTACTCAATATCTCCATATAGTAACCCTCTTGCCTTCTGTCTGGTGGGCAAGGGGCCGTTGCCCAGTTGTGCATTCTGGACAAGGGCATCTGCCTTGTGTCTACTCCTTATTCATACTTTTAATAACCCCCCACCAATTGCTTTTAGTCCACCCTTCATTGTGCCTACAGAGGTCCCTGGTACCTCCAGTTCCCAAAGTTTTCCAGAGTTCTCCAGGGAAGAGTTGGCATATTTCTTGTTGACTGACCTGTTGTGATCATTTGACTGAGTAGAAAAGCTAAAAGCATCTCACTCATCCATTCCCACCCTCAGCATTAAGGGATGATCTTATTTCTCTGCGTATTTTATATTTTGGTGCTTCTAGATGGGATGAAGCTTTTACATTGCCCCCGCATATGGCATTGGGGTAACATGAGGAATATGGACAGACGTTGACCTCTCAGGGTGCTCTTGACATGTGTAACAATGCAGAATGTTTATACAAACCTCCCTTGGTATCCTTGAGGGATTGGTTCCAGCATCCCATCTCCACAGGGTACCAAAACCCATGTATGCTCAAGTACTTTATATAAAATGGCATAGTATTTGCATCTAATCTATGCATGGCTTCCTATATACTTTAAATCATCTCTAGATTATTTTTGATACCAAATACAATATAAATGCTATGTAACTAGCTATTATACTTTATTGTTTTTATTGGTATTTTTTACTATTCTTATTTTTTTTTTGTTTTTCAAATATTTTCTACCTATGATTGGTCAAGTGTGCAGATGCAGAACATGCATGATAGAGGGCTGACTGTGTATATCTGCAGTCCATACAGCCTTATGAAAGTGCGTGGAGGGGAAGGGAGACTGGGAGTGGGCTGGGGAGTGTCCCTAGAGTGAAGTAGGTGTGGGTATGAGATGTGTTGGTTTGCCTTCATCCTCTGGAAGTGAAGCAGCTCTAGGCAGCATATCCGTGGGTGCTGATTCTTCTGGGGCTCAGCCAGAAGCTGGAACTCACAGTCGTCGGCTCCTTGATCCCCAGGTGGTCCTGCCTTCGTGGTTGTCCTCTGCAAAGGTCTCCTCGCTCATTGAGAGAATCTCTGACCCCAAGGACTTGAAAAAACTGCTCAGAACCCGGAATAATGTACTGGTGCTTTACTCCAAATCTGGTGAGTGTTCCTGGCCTTGAGGTCAAATATCAGGGTAGGATAGGATAGAGGGGAAGGAAGGGGCAGAAGTGGGAGGCAGGAGACCTTAGGATAAAAACCACTCAGGGAGGGTCCGAGGGACATGGGGTTTGTCAGCTGTCCTCAGAAGACAGAGGTGAGGCACACAGGGGCATTAGCTCTGCCGCTTTCTGATACCAGGGGTGGTTCTGCTGCTTTTTATGAGTGTTGGGGAAAGTCCTCTGAAACCCCTCACTCCTTAAGAGGGAGAGGGCGAAGTAGGACAGAGGATCACAATGGTGGGTACCAGGATGGACATCCTGGCTTCTTGTACAGGCGTGGGGCTGAGCCCTGCCAGGGCATGCTTTGTCAGAGCTGTTGATTAACTTGCCAGGCCGGCCTGTTGCCAGCTGAATGGGCCGAAGGCTTGGGAGCGCTCACCCCAGCTGGCAGCCCTGCCCCTGCCTGGCCCATCTGTCCTGCTCTGGGGTCAGATGCAAGACTGAATTTGGAGTGGGCTCTAAGCTTGGGACACAGCACTTCTTGGGAGCAGGAGCAGCAGCAGTGGCCTGCCTCTCTTTTGACCTTGAGGCTGGCAAGGGCATAGCAGATGGAGAGAGGTTTGCTTGGCTCTTGACAGTGACTTTGGGAGAGGGTGAATGCTGACTTTATTGAAGTTGTTCCAGCAGAGTTAAGTGTTTTTTTGCTGCTTCTAAGGATGCCAAGTTTTCTGTGGCCCTGGAAAAGCAGCAGCCAGTGGCTGGGCCAGTTCCGGGCACAGCTTTCCCTGGCAGCTCAGCCTCGGCACTCACTGGCACCTGGGGGATGATAGAGGCTCCAGACATGCCTGCATCCTCCAGGCATCCCTGGCATGTAGGATGTGTTCATTGCCACTTGTGGCTGCTGCTTCCCCTTCTGGGGGTCTAGCACATATGCGCTGAGTGCGTTTTTGGGAGCCTCACAGGTGACTAGCATTTCTTGGCTGTCAAGAATAGGGGTGAAATCAAGGGAAAGGGGAGGCAGTGTCCTCTTGAGGCCTGGGGCATAGGGCCCTGAAAACATGTGGCTCACTGCCTTGGATACTCCTGAGTTAGAGCTAGGGCGATTGTCAGTGACAGACATGCTCCATTCCTTCTCTGGGGTAGATTCCATCATAGAAGCTCATCATAATACAGTCTCTTGTGCTCCTTTGCCATGAGGGAAGCATTGCAGGTTGTCAGAGGACATCCAGTATACAAATGAGGAAACTGAAGCTGGGAGTAGCAGACTCATTTGAGGTTTTCAAACAGCAGTCGGGAGCTGGTCCCCTGTGCCTTGCTGCCTCTCATTTTCTCTGATGGAAGATGGGAAGACAGTATTGATTCTGCAATGACAGAAAGGCTTGGAGACCAGTATGGAGTTGAGGCCAGAAAATCATTATGGGAAGTTAGAGAGTGGAAAGGTGGGGTCTGCTGTCAGGAGCGTGCAGGGCAGGAGGTAGCACCTGAGCTCTCTTTCCCTCACCTGACCCTGTCTCGCGCCATCGAGAGTAAATCCCCCACTTGCCAGTGCTTCCCACTTGCCAGCCTACTTCCTGCTTTCATCGCCTGGTGGGGCCTGGGCAATTCTTTACCTTCCTGCCTCCTTGCCCACGCCTGCTGCACGAGATGTGACTTTCAGTAGAGTTTTGAGCAGTGCAGAAACTGGGTTTTCTTTGTTCCCTCCAATCCTTCCAGGCAGCACCTCCCTTTCCGTGGCTGAAAGGCAGGGTTAGGGCAGGGGGTACTTTATCTTGTTCTAGTTTATTCCTCCCCCTCCCCTGCTTCCCAGAACCCAGTCTGAGCGGTGGAACAATGGCTTTCTCCACTTCAGTGACTCGCCCTCCTCCTGTCACCCTGGCTGTGGTTTCCTGGGAGTGCCTCCTCCAAGTGACTTCGTGCATGTCTCTTGAGCGATACTTTTGTTTGCTTCTGTGAAAGGCTCAGCATGCTCTGTATTCACAAACGGCTACCATTATCCACACTAGAAGAGGCGATCTGCGGAGGCACATAATTCAGACATCATTTCTGCTTGGCTTGGGGACATATCGTACAGTTTTTGGCGGGAGAAAGCAGCAGATCACTCTCCCCACCAGTGTTTGTCTGGCAGGCCTTTCAAGTGAGCTCACAGGTGTCACCTAGGAGAACGTGACTCAGGAGCCTGCTGGCCACAAGAATCAAACACTGACCACAGCCACTCTGCAGTGGATCATTGCAGGCTAGCAGTGCTGAAATCCTGGCCACAGAGGCTCTGTCCCTAAGACCCTGCCCTCCCACAGAAATATCTGGGTGCCTTGCACTGACCTGTCGGGATTGACACTTGCACCAATAAGAAAGTCTTCCTCTTTTGCGATCACTCCATCCTGTCCCAAAGTATGGTCCACATTCCTGCAGCTGACCACTGGAGGTGCTGCCATTACCAGCTCTTGCCCCATGGCTTCTGGGGAAGTGGGCTGTTAAATGTGGCTTAGGTGTCCTTGGCATTGGCTCATCAGAACCTAGTGTCACGTATAGACCTCATTTTATCACCAGGTTGTACTGAGCTCCTAGATGAGTGTGTGCTGCACAAGTAAAGGAAGGATCTGATCCCAGCTCTCGTCAGCTCCTAGGTGGGGCACCAGGACAGGTGAACATGGAGTCAGCAACATTGTTACTTATATTAATTATAGGATTGTAATTGTTTATGCAGTTTTCACAATTTATCCCAGAAAGGCATGAGTCAGAGACTTTCTTGAGGATCTGGCTGACAGATTCTTGGAAGAGTATGGTGTGAGGTGTGGATTAAAGGCAGGGTGAGTTGGGGGTTCTATGTCCAGGAGGAAGGCCCCTGAGGATGGTGAGATCAGGGGTTTCTGAGAAGGGCTGGGAGTATGCTTGCAGGAAGGAAGTCTCCATCCTTCCTCACCCCTGAGGGAAGATGACAGAGGTGGCCCAGTCCTCTTGGGCACAGATGTTTAATTTTTCGTTTTTTTGCAGAGGCGGCAGCTGAAAATCATCTCAGGTTACTGTCCACAGTGGCCCAGGCAGTAAAAGGACAAGGCACCATCTGCTGGGTGGATTGTGGGTATGTCCTGGGGACATGGGCCATGGTGGCTTCTGGGCACGGGGCACATGGGGCTTTGATGGGTGGGGCTGGGAGCTATCCCTTGATTGATAATCTGGGAGAGAGGATGCAATGGAAAAATTCCCTCTAGTGATACTTCGAGGTCACCTCTGGACTGGAAGAACGAGTGTCTGGCTTTCCGCCCCTTTCTTCCCAGCCCAGCCCATTTTCTTTTCTTTTCCCATAGAGTTTCACTTTCTTCTGTTTTCTTGTGTTGCTTTCTTCTGTCTTCCTGGAGGGAGGTGAGTGGCAGAGGAGGCCTTCCTGTCTTACAGAGGGTGGCCCTGATACCCAGAGAGGCAAGGTGATTTTCAGGGTTACCTAGTGGGGTTTGCCTGTGGTGAGCCTGCAGCGAGAACCATGAGCTCTACCCCCAACCCAGGCCATTACACTAGACATCTCTGCTGCCCACCATGCAATCAGTGGGTCAATCTGCCTGTGCCTTGGCTTCTGAGGTGGCCCAGTCCTGTAAAGGTCTTCTGAATCTTCAATGGATCTATTATGGCCCGAGTCATAAGCTCTGTTACTACCCTGCAGGTTAAGTGAGCTTTTACCGCATCCACTCCAGTGTAATCCTCTTTCTATTCAGTCTGAGTTCTAAACGGCTACTTTACGAGTGAATTTTTGGGACACAACTGATAAGTTAATGAACTCAAGTTTGTTCTGTCTGTGGTTAGAAAACATTGAAGGATATTTATATTTTAACAAAGCACTGAGTGTAACTAGGATAATAAGTCTTAGCCAAGTGGTATGTGCTGTATAGCGTGTGTGTGTGTGTGTGTGTGTGTGTGTGTGTGTGTGTGTGTCTGGCCTCATACTTCCAGATTCATTCAGATACTAACGGAACAGAAAAGGCTGCTCACTAGGCAGTAGGTCAGATCTTAGCCCTTGGCTAATTCTGGTTCATAATTGGTCCAAAACATCTCTCTTTCTCCCATATTTGACCAGCCGTGCTCTCTGTGACTGGCAAAGTGACAAAGCCTATTAGACGGAGACAAGGCACTTTGGAATTTCCATATCTGAAGATGACAACAGTTCTGCCAAACCAGTGGAGGCTTATTGCAGGGAGTTCTTATGAGGCTTGTAGGTGGCAGAAATGGGCAGAGGAGCTTTGACTTAGTTGCTGCCTCCTTCTGGGTCCATGTAACAGACATTACCGGGCATTTACTGCATTCTTTGAGAATACACAGTTGAACACCTGCATCCTCAAGGAGCTCAGTGTGTGAGGAGAAGGCACACACTTAGCCCAGTGATTACAACATCAGGTGAACAGTGCCAAAAACACAGACTATATGTATGGAGGGAGAGCCCCTCAATTCTGCCTGGAAAAGTTGAGAAAAGCTTTGCAGAGGAGGTCAAGTTCACATTTGGTGCAAAGACCTCAGAGCACAATACCATGTGTTCACAGTGCCCTGGCTTTCCCTGCAGGCAGCTGCCTGTGGAGTGGGGCCCCCAGAACTGCCTGTGGAGGCGAAAGGCCTGCTGCAGTCCCCGAGCGGCCTGGAAAACATGCAGTGCAAGTTTCCTGAGTTAAATGGGGTCAGTGTAGCGGGTGAAGACAGACGACGGAGATTCAACTTCAGGACTCATGTTTGGAAACATGATGTCTGGAGTCAATAAAAGTGCCAGTGAGAACATCCTGTGAATTTCCATGTGCTCAAATTAAAACTGGGGCAGGGAAGCACCTTAGAGGTTGAAAGAGTTCACCTTAAGACAGAAGGATGGACCATCCCATATAGTTGTCTCACTGTATTGAATTGATCCCTGCAAGAGGAAGTAGAAACTGAAATGTTATAACAGTGTGGATAAGTAGGTGAATTATGGAACCAAAGTGGATTAAGTTGGAAGCAGGAATATCTGGGTGTGAGTTTGAAATTAGAGGCAGGGTACAATATTTCCTGAGTAGCCCAAGGTTCAGAATTCTGGGCTGTGGGCCACGCAGGTCACGCTACGTGGCAACTGTCACAGACCACTGTTAGAAAAGGTGAGATCTCCACTTCGGCTCGGTCACTTCTGCTCCTAGACTTCCAAACTTGCCTGTAATCATCAGGGCATGGGGAGCCCACATGATAGCTCCACAGAGCCCTGCAGTGACAGCTCTCGCTGTAGTCCTAAGTGTGTCCAGTCGTGTCTGTGGGTCTGTGAATGAGACACACCCAGGGATGGGCAGAAGCACTGTTGAGAACTTTGCTTTCTGGTGCTGTCTGCTGAGGAGCGAGTAGGTGGCATGGGGTCATGTTCTCTTCTTTATCCTTGTTACGATGAAACAGCAAGCAGCCAGCCAGAGCTCACCACCCTCAAATGGGCCCTGATGAGGCCCCCGTCTCTCATCCTTTCCAGCTCTACTTCTTGCCCTGCCCACGAAGGGTTGGTGGTTAGGATGGGGACAGGGCTTGAAGTGGGGGTGACCAGGAAGGTCAGGAGTGCACAGACCACCCTGCTTTTCCCTTTAAAGGGCAGGTGAGGGGAACAGGGACCATCTGGGGTGAGAAAAGATGCTGCTCCAGTGTTGAGGTATCCTTGCAGGTATGTGGAGTAAGGGAGAAAGCCTTAGGCATAGGAGAGGGCGTGGGCTGACTGCTAACTAGTTAGTTAGCTGCACTGCTCATTAGCCCTGTGACACTGGGCAAGTCGGTCACCCGAGTCTCTTTCGTCAGCTGTGAAATGGGACAGCAATATGCATTCTGCCTTGTTTCCAGGTCTGTGAAAAGGATCAGGTAAAGGAAAGTTCTTTCGAGAAGAGGAAGTACAATTTACATGTGAGACACCATTCTCCTAATGTTGTTTTTGATGTGGGTAAGGTTGTTCAGGAGGAAAGTGGAGGGGAGGAATGGTGTACTTGTTTATTCAGCAACTGTTTAATGGGTGAGGAGCCCTTGGTTCTTGTAAGGATGAACTTGAAGGTTTTGGCCGTGGAAATGAGCCCCTGGCCATGGGTGTTTTGCTCTGACCCTTAAGAAGTACAGGGTGCAGTGGAATTTGTAGGACTGTAGGTCAGAAAACCTGGCTTTGAGTCCTAGGCTTTGACATCAAATCGCTGTGGGGCCTTTGGCAAGTCACTGCTCCTCTCTGGGCTTCAGTTGAATCTTCCGGGAAATGTGGAGTTGAATCTTTCAGGTTACTCTCATCTGTATAGAGCCTGCTTCAGAAAATGCCAGAAGCTGCCAGGCCCAGTGTACGGGTTATAAGTATGGTGGTGGGCATTGCCTTCTAGTCTTTGAGGGGGTCTTTTCCTCTTGTGCCCCTCCCTCCCCATCCCCATTTTGGAAGGGTGCCTATCCTTCTCTCTGAGGTCCTCTCCTGTCCTCTTTTCTCTCCCCTTATGAGGTTTCTGTTCCCCTTTCCCAGTCCTGTGTCCAGGACTCCCCAGTGCTCCCTGCTTCTGCCCTGCACCACTCTTGTTTTTGAGACAGGGTCTCACACTGTTGCCCAGGCTGCAGTGTAGTATCACAATCTCATTTCAGGCAGACTCAACCTCCCAGGCTGAAGCAATCCTCCCAGCTCAGCCTCCGCAGTAGCTGAGACCACAGGCACATACCACCACGCCCAGCTATGTTTTGTATTTTTTTTGTAAAGGCCAGGTTTTGCCACATTGCTCAGGTTGGTCTTGAACTCCTAGGCTCAAGTAATTCACCTGCCTTGGCCTCCCAAAGTGCTGGGATTACAGGTTGTGTCACTGTGCCTGGCTTGTCCTTCTTTTGGCCTCTTTTCTCCTCTTTCCTTTCTATATTGATATTTCTTTTCCATTTTTTTTTTTTTTTTTGAGACAGAATTTTGCTCTTGTTACCCAGGCTGGAGTACAGTGGTGCGATCTTGGCTCACCGCAACCTCCGCTTCCTAGGTTCAGGCAATTCTCCTGCCTCAGCCTCCTGAGTAGCTGGGATTACAGGCACGCGCCACCATGCCCAGCTAATTTGTTGTATTTTCAGTAGAGACGGGTTTCACCATGTTGACCAGGATGGTCTCGATCTCTTGACCTCATGATCCACCTGCCTCAGCCTCCCAAAGTGCTGGGATTACAGGCTTGAGCCACCGCGCCCGGCCTTCTTTTCCTTTTTAAAAAATATTTTGCTTTTCTGGCTCTCTCCTCCCTGTTCCTCCATGTGCACCTGCAGGAACACACAAACACTTCTCCATTGGTTTCTCCCTGGTCCCAGGCCCTGTAACTTGCTGCTCTGGGGTGTTTCTAGGGTGTCTGGCTCCTGTCCAGGGTTTTGTCAGCTTTCCTTCCACCTCACTCCACTCCTGGCTCAGACATCAACAGCCACACTCGGTCTGGCTGGTGGTGGTTGTCCGGCTGTTAAGCGGGTTGTGTGCAGGAGTTGGTATTCCCCTCGTGCTCTGCCAGCTGGGCACTGGGGCTTGGGCTTGGCATGGAGCGCTGCTGTCTGGGAAGTTGAGCTGGAGCCAGCGAGGAGCTGTGCCTGTTATGCTAATTCCGGAGGCTGTGTCTCGCAGGGGGCAAGGCTGTCCTATCAGGTGCTTGCTACTTTCTTTTCCTCCGGGCTTCAGGTCATTGCTTAACCGCATTTGCTTTCTTCCCTGCTCTCCCCATCTGCTTGATTTCTTTGGAGTCGGCTTCCCAGATGCAAGACTGGGGGCCTGCCAGGGTAGGCATAACATATTTTAAAGACTTATGTTTTCTCCTAAAAACTATCTGAATTTAGTATTTGCTCCTAAGCATGTTCAACATTACGTACCATGGGGTAAAACAGACTCCCAGAAGAAGTGCTGTGTTTGTCTTGTGGCTTCAGATGCCTTCCAGCACACCACCATGCACTCGTTGGAGTGACACGGCCCCTTGAGGAGCAGAGCCTTAGAATTGCTGGGCTGGGAGGGCAGTGGAGGGGAGGCACCATGCATGTCTGCTGAGAAACCATGTTCTTCTCTCTTTTTTTTCCACCACTCTTACTAACTGTGCTGTGCAATCCAAACCCTGTGATGTACCTTCTTGAGGCAGG